GTAGGCCTATAAATTTGTGTTCCAAGTAGGTCCTAAATAAACATTTTTCAGGGGCACCTGGGTAGCTCAGTTGATTAAGTGTCTGACTTTGGCTCAGGTCATGATCTTGCAGTTTGTGAGTTAAAGCCCTGCATCGGGTTCTGTGCTGACAGCTTGGAGACTGGAGTCTGCTTCTGATTCTGTGTGTGTCTCTCTCTCTGCCCCTCCCCCCTTCTCTCTCTCTCTCTCAAAAATAAACATTAAAAAATTAAAAATAAACAATTTTTAATCCTCCCAAATTAAATCTAGTCTTGATGATAAAACTACCAGGGGAAAGGACAGGCCCTTATTCTGTTAATGTTTTCAGCCCCTGATAAAGGGCCAGATAAGAGAGTAAACCACTTCAGGCCACTGCTTAAGTACAGTTGACAGTGACTATCTCTGCTCTGTGTCACTAATGGGTGACAAGCAGTGAGTGAATGTCTTGGCTGAAGTAGTAGACAGGCATTGCTAAGAGTCAAGTAGGGGGTCAAGGAGTATTTCAGCGCTCAAGTAATGTACTTTTCCTGTTTCCACCCATCTCCCCCCATCCTTCAACCCATCAGTTCCTTTTACCACTGTTGCTAATATTTTTTGTATCTAACTTGAATTGTTGGAATAACATATAGCCTTTTTTAAAAAATACATTTATTTATCTTGAGGAAGACAGGCTCAAAGAGGGAGGGAGGGGCAGAGAGAGGGGGAGAGAGAGAGAGGGAGAGAGAGAGAATCCCAGGCAGACTCGCCACTGTCTGTAGAGAGCCCCAAGTGGGGCTTGATCTCAAGAACCACGAGATCATGAACTGAGCCAAGATCACTGACGACGCCACCCAGGCGCCCCTGAATAACATATAGCCTTCTACCAGCTTAAAGGATGTAGGAATATTCTTTAAAAGTGAGTAATAGGAATGGGGGAGAAAAGAAAGAGTTTCTGGAGCCATCACCTACTTATCAGCTTGCTCAAGCATACCAACTTGAACTCTGCAGTAATCAAACACTCAAGGCTCAAAGTTCGAAATGAACCCCAGGCCTCTAGCCTAAATAGCTTGTAAAATCACAGTTAAGCGTGGTGGAGGTAGAGAGGAAGGCGTACAACAGGTTGAAACTAAATTACAAAAAATTACTACTAAGAAACAACATCCTACTAAATATTGAGGCCAAGGTGATAACTAATCCACTCATTCTTGTGAGATGGTTTGACTGTTTCTGTATTTGTCCCATCTTCTTTCCTCAAGAGTGTGGATGGCCCTGGGCCCCAGTCCCCCACCCCACCAAGTGTCATCCAGAGGTGGGGCTTCTACTGCCACTTCTTTCCCCCTGTTTCCTAGACTTTGAGGTTTCATGAAACAGGACAAGGGTGGAAGAAAGAGAAAGAAAGAGAGAAAGAGAGAAAGAGAGAGAGAGAGAGAGAAAGAGAGAGAGAGAAAGAGAGAGAGAGAAAGAGAGAGAGAGAAAGAGAGAGAGAGAAAGAGAGAGAGAGAAAGAGAGAGAGAGAGAAAGAGAGAGAAAGAGAGAGAGAGAATGAGAACGAGAGAGAATGAGAACGAGAGAGAATGAGAACGAGAGAGAATGAGAACGAGAGAGAATGAGAACGAGAGAGAATGAGAACGAGAGAGAACGAGAACGAGAGAGAACGAGACAACGAGAGAACGAGAGAGAGAGAAAGAAAGAGAAAGAGAAAGAAAAAGAAAAGGAAAGAAAGAGAGAAAGAGAAAGAAAGAGAGAAAGAGAAAGAAAGAGAAAGAAGGAAAGAAAGAAAGAGAGAAAGAGAAAGAGAGAGAGAAAGAGAGAGAAAGAGAAAGAGAGAGAGAGAGAGAAAGAAAGAGAGAGAGAGAGAAAGAACGAGAGAGAAAGAAAGAATGAGAGAGAAAGAGAGGAAAGGGAGAGAGTAGTAAGGTTGTTACCTTTTAACTGTGCAAGTAAAGAGATTGGGAATAACTCTCTCATATATTATCATTAACTGTACCAAAACAGAGAATGCTCTAACACCCTGTAAGAAGAGAGGATAAACACTCCCCAAGTATGGACAGTTGGAAATCTAAGCACAGATAACAATATCTTCTTGTTCTTGATTCTCTTTTCATGAAAAATGTGTGAAAACTTTTTAATGGAGCAACACTGGCATTTGGGAAATTACTTTCGTCTACGCCTGCACATTTTCCACTTTTCCCAAGCACACGCCTTAAAGCACTGTCTTTCTGTTCTTCAGATGTAATTCTGGATCTCCTGCTCCTCTTCCCAAGTACTTGGCCTCCCTGCTTACACTCAGTCTTTTCTTTCTCCGGTTCTTCCTCCTGCCAATCTTTTCACTTTGATGCCGTGGAGCTATGATTCCATTGTGGACCCTTATTCTTACCTCTTGGCTCTATTCCCCCCCCCCATTATATTACACCCCCACAGGTCCTAGCTCTAGTGCATTCACAGCGGCCCCAGAGCCACTTAGGGGAGGAAGGATCAGTCCGCCCTATTGAGTTCTGAGAATATGAGCAGAGTTCACCAGATCCTTGTCCAGGATTTCCCCATGTCTAGAAAATACTGTGAGTTGGCCTCTCCTTGGCTTTCTTGTCTCTCTTTTTTCTTATACATTATGAATAATTATTCAAAAAATTGAAAAATTAAAAATAAAGACAAATTGTCATCCATAATTCCACTACTTAACAACCTTTATCGATTTGGTGAATTGCTTAAAAGTACGCACTTAAAAAAAGTGCTCTGTTGGTGGGAACGTACATTGGGTCAGCCACTGTGGAAAACGGTGTAGTGGTTCCTCAAAAAAATTAAAAACAGGAATGCCATATAATCTGGGTATCTACCTAAAGAAAACAAAAATACTAATTTGAAAAGATATACATACCCCTATGTTCATTGCAACACTTTTTACAACAGCCAACACGTGTCAGCAACTAAGTGTCCATCCAAAGATGAATGGATAGAGATCTGCTATCTATACACAATGTCATATTACTCAGCCATAAAAAAGAATAAAATCTTGCCATTTGTGACAATATGGATAGACCCAGAGGGTATTATGCTAAGTGAAATAAGTCAGACAGAGGCAAATACCATCTGATTTCACTTATATGTGGACTCCAAAACAAAAAAGAAACAGATCCATAAATATGTGGAAAAAACTGATGGTTGCCAGAGGAGAGGTGTGTGGGAGGATGAGCAAAAAGTAGTGTAGGGGAGAGGGAGATAAAGATATCCAGTTATAAATGAATAAATTATGGGAATAAAAGACACAGCATAGGGAATATAGTAAACAGCATTATAATAGTGCTGTATGATAACAGATGGTAGCTATACTTGGGGTGAACATAGCATGATGTACAGAGATATTTAATCTCTATGCTGTATATCTGAAACTAATGTAACACTGTCAACTATATTTCAATTAAAAAATTCCTGTAATCAAAGGTTTAAAATATATGCACACTATTTTTCATTTTGTACACTATTAGGGTTTCTTCTTTGTTACCAGTGTTCAAAAACATTATAAAAACTAGTGTGTACCATTCCATTGATTGGGTGTGTTCATTTTATGTAACCATCTCTATACTAATATCTCTCTGACTTGATATTTTTGCCTGTTATTCCTCCATATATGCATGTCCCATCTGGAAATATATTTTTTATCATAGATTTCTAGTAATGAAGTTGTAGTTCAAAGGCATGACAATTTTTTAGACTCTTGATTCATATTACCAAATTGTATTTGAAGAGGTTATTATCCTAGAGGCACCTGGGTGGCTCATTTGGTTGAGTGTCCAATTTTGGCTCAGGTCATGATCTTGCGGCTTCTGAGGTCAAGCCCTTTGTTGGGCTCTTGCTGACAGCTCAGAGCCTGGAGCCTGCTTTGGATTCTGTGTCCCTCTCTAGCTCTGCCCCTCCCCCACTCATGCTGTCTCTTTCTCTATCAAAGATAAAAAAAAATATTAAAAACAAATTTGAAAAGGTTATCTTAATTTAGTGCTATCAGCTATATCAATGGATACAACTTTTTTTTTTTAATGTTTTATTTATTTTTGAGACAGAGATAAAGACAGCATGAGCAGGGGAGGGTGAGAGAGAGAGGGAGACATAGAATCCAAAGACAGACTCCAGGCTCTGAGCTAGTTGTCAACACAGAGCCTGACGTAGGGCTTGAACCCACAAACCATGAGATCGTGACCTGAGCCGAACTCAGATGTTTAACTAACTGAGCCACCCAGGTGCCCCCAATGGATACAACTTTTACAAATGCTGTCATTGTATACATGTAGCTAATTTCATAAACAATAAATGTTACATAAACAGCAATTGCTGTTGTCATTTATTTTTCTTTGATTAGTAGTTTTCTTAATTTCCCATGTTTGTTTCTGGCTCATCTTTTGCAAATTACCTATTTATTTGCTTGTTAACATAGTTTCTCCTTTTCTTTCTGATATGTATGCCTCTTAATAGTATCTTCATTATTATTTTTATTTACTTTTAAACAAATTTTAAAAATTTTAATTTATTTTTGAGAGACACAGACAGCATGAGCAGAGGAGGGGCAGAGATAGAGGGAGACACAGCATCTAAAGCAGGCTCCAGACTCCAGCTCTGAGCTGTCAGCACAGAGCCTGACACGGGGCTTGAATCCACACACTGTGAGATCATGACCTGAGCCAAAGTTGGACACTTAACCAAATGAGCCACCCACGTACCTCCATTATTAGTTTTTAAAATCAGTATGTATGAATTCTTTATAAAGACATTACCAATGTCAGACTTAGTACAAATGTTGATTTGTCTGTTCTTTTATCTTGGCTATATTTTTCTCTGATTTACACAAGTTATGAAATTTAATACTGTGAAGTTGGCCAACTTTTTGTAGACTCTTGGCATAGAAAGTTGCCTTACCAAAAGGAATAAAAGGGTGAGAGAGAGACCGAAAAGGAAAGTCATCCTGCTGTCTGAGTTAGGTATTCAGTTGTATTTGTTCTTGTTTTCAGGGCCAGGAGTCAGATCCCTGTGGAAAATGAGTCAAAGGTCACCATCAGATTCTTCCTCACTTCATCAGTGGTATGGAAGGGTTCAGAGGAGGGAGGTAAGACGGTATCAGCTCCTGGGTGGAGAGCTTGATCCTGATGAGGAGAACAACTCTTCCTCGGGGTTGGGAATAAGAATTTGGGTAGGTTATGGGTGACTGGGCAAGAGTTTGAGCTACCATGAGGGAAGGGACAGGGGGTATGACAGGAGACCCTCCACTAAACCTCTCCATTATAGGCCTGAGGCCCAGTTAACACTCATTGTGTATTTACTGTTTTTTCCTCATGGAGGGAAGTAACCTGAGGCTACTGACCATTGTTCCCAAGTAAGTTACAAGCAGACCTATGTGTGCCATATGGGGAGAAGAAAACTCACATGACTGATATAGAAGGAATTTGTAAACTGGTAAAACTAGCAGTCATTTTAGAATTGGTCTAAAAATTGTTTCTCTTGGCTACTTAGTGTGGCTGCTAAGAACAAGGAGGGGTCTGCCCTTTCAACCTACTGCAATCAACTTATCCAATGTGATTACAATGCGCTTGCTTCCTGACAATCACTTGTGCTCTGGGAGAAGTTTCATAGGGTCCAGAAACTCCTCCCTTTCACTCCCTGTGGCCCGATGTCCCTATTCCTTTAACTAGACGCCTGGTTGCAAACCCTATATAGGGCTTTTCAAAGAGCTCTGGATCCTAATCAGCAGTGTCATAGAAAGGAGGGGAAAACATAAGCTGGAGAAGGTGAAACCAGTGTGGTGGTATTCACATGTTTTAGAACTTCTGTTTTTCGATCTCTTAAAACATAGCACAGTCAGGGCGCCTGGGTGGCTTAGTCGGTTAAGCATCCGACTTTCGCTTAGGTCATGATCTCGCGGTTCGTGGGTTCGAGCCCCGCGTCGGGCTCTGTGCTGACTGCCAGCTCAGAGCCTGGAGCCTGTTTCGGTCTGTGTCTCCCTCTCTCTCGGACCCTCCCCTGCTCACGCTGTCTCTCTCTCCTAGAAATAAATAAAAAAATATTAAAAAAAAAAAACATAGCACAGTCATATATGCAAGAGTTCTACAAAGCCACCTTGAAAAATAGGGTCCCCTACAATATTTCATCCCCAGACATTTTTACTTCCCAGAGACCATCATTTCAATTTTATTTATTTATGTTCTATTAGGTTTATTTATTTTGAGAGAGAGAGAGAGAGAGAGAAAGAGAGGGAGGGAGAGAGCGCGAGCAGGAAAGGGGCAGAGAAAGGGAAGGAAAGAGAATCCCAAGCAGGCTTTGCACTGACAGCATAGGGCTGGATTTTAGGAACCAAGAGATCATGACCTGAGCCAAAATCAAGAATCGGACACTCAACTGACTAAGCCTCCCAGGTGCTCCAACAATTATTTCAATTTTAAAAAGTTATGTTTTAATTTTTTCAATGTTTATTTATTTTGTATTTTTTTAATGTTTGTTTATTTGAGACAGAGACAGAGGATGAGTAGAGAAAGGGCAGAGAGAGAGGGAGACACAGAATCTGAAGCAGGCTCCAGGTTCTGAGCTTTCAGCACAGAGACCGACACAGGGCTCAAACTCACAAGCTGTGAGATCATGACCTGAGCCAAAGTTGGACACTTAACCGAATGAGCCACCCTGGTGCCTCCAAAAATTACTTCTTACTGTTTGCCCTTACATCTCTAAATTAAAAAAAAGTATCTTGTTACTTTTTGATTGTCTTTACATTTTAGGCATTTTTTAAATTGTAGGGCTCAAGGGCAGGCTGCCCAAAATGTGCCACTTTGGCATACTTATTATTTTAAATAAAACTTATTTCAGAGACTGCTAAGGACACTCAGACTGTCCTCTGTCCCCCTGAAAGGGGCAAATCTCCCATGAGAAAGGTACTGTTCCTGTACCAGGAGGTAGAGACATCCTTATCACCAAAGATAGGAACTTCAGAGCTGAGAAAGCTGTATGGACAAAGCTGATTACTTTTTACTAATTTTCTCCCCCAGCCCAATTCCATTTAGAATTCCACAGCAGTTGAAACTCCTAAAGTTGCATTTTCTTTGTCCTGTCAATTCCTCACAGATTGATTGTCTATAGAGTGTAAAAACTTCCCACCACCAGTCATTTCTTTAGGTCTCAATTTCATAATTGGCCCTCTGTGCTCATGTAATTAAACTTTGGTTTATTTTCTCCTGTTAATCTATCTCGTGTGAATTTAATTCTAAGCACAGTTAGAAGAACCCTGGATCAAGGAAAATTTCTTCCTTTCCTTCTTCACTTGATGTAGTCAGCAGGATAAACTTCCACTGGACACTTGATCTGAAGATTCTGCAGCTTTGAGATCTTGGGACATAGACCATGAAATCGGCAGAAGGTAAGACTTCGTGTGTTGGCTTCCCAAAACCTCTGTCTGGGGGGTCCAGTGGAGCAAGAGGGGTGAAAGTTTTATTCTAAACCCCGCAGCTAAAGTACTGGAACTAGTTCCATGGACTTAATGGCTCTTGATAAAAATTTGGTAGAGTACTCTTGGGTTACTGATCCATTTCCTCCCAGAGATGGTCTTTGTTTTTCTTTGCCTATCTTTTATGCCACTCGTCCTTAAATACACACACACACACACACACACACACACACACACACACCCTCAAAGGGAGAACACAGGCATGACCCTCCAAACTTACTGTTCAGACTAGCCTCGTAGGTGAATTCAGTGGTTCTCATCAGACCAGTGTCTATTTAGACAAACTTTGTTGTGGGTTAAAGTGCACACAAAGTAAAAACTGTTGCTATGAGACATCTTGGAAGCCAAAGCTGCAAAGTTGGTGGGCACGAGTCAAGCACTTAAAAGCTTTTAGAGCATTTGCCACCTAACCCAAAGGTTCCTGTGGTAGGATATTTGTCACAGAATGGGTTAGATTGACACTAGGTCACCGGGCAACCTCAAAAACAGTTCTGTGTGATGAAATGCACTGTACAGCACACAGTCTCCAGCCCTGTGGCACATTCCTCCTAGGTATTAGGAGACTCAAGCCTGAGCTAAGCTGTTAAAGTGCACATAAGAGAAACTGGATGAGGTTTTCCTTTCATCTCCAGTGTCTTAGGGCTTGGTTTGTGACCAGTGAGGATATTCTCTGTGGTCTCCAGCATCTGGAGGGTGCACCCACCTGGATGCACTTTGGGGACCAAACAGAATGGGGATCTGAGGCATGAAGTTATGAGCAGGACTCTCTTGGTCCAGCCATGCCAGCTCTCGGGAATGTATTATAAGACGTTCCCGAACCCACAAAGGACCTCTGCCATCTCAACTTCGTTGCTTGTTACTGCTGGAAGTCCCACTCCAGTAGTGCCTGCCTGGTGTCACAGATTAGCGAGTCTGTGCCTGGAGCCGTCTCACATTTGTGGGAGACTAGAGATACCATATATTCCTACCAGCTGGGCAATGATAATCTTTGCTCTCTTACACTATTTTGGGGAGTAAACTTTTGGATCATAGGGAAAATGAGTTTTTTTTTTTCTCTCCTGTTAGTGTCTCACATAGCTTTAATTCTTAGCTCAGCTAGTAGAACTTTGGACTAAGGAAATTTCTTCCTCCCCTTCATGAGTGACATCCCTTTATAGACAATGAGAATTTATTTTATTCTCCATACATACAACGGCTTACCCTTATCCTTCCAGTCTAATTAAATTATAATTGGGATGAGATCAATACATGAGTTTTACTTCTCCATGTTTATATAAATATTATATGCAGCTGACTCACATAGTATGTTATAATTACATTTACTTTTATAAAATTTGTTTTCCCTGGAGTTAACTTCATTTTTGTCACTTGCATAGCTTTCTAGAATTTCATCTCCTCCATCCCTCAATACTCTTACAGGTAAGAACTTGTTCTTCAATAAGTTCAAATACCCCAGACTTTATCAGCTTCATCTTCTTGGGGATAGGACAGTTCATTCAGCAGACTGTGGCATTTATTATGGCTGTTCAGGTCACTGTCCTTCTAGGTTTTTGATTCCTTCACTGATTGTGAATGACAAGGGTAAACTGTGGTAAGTGAGGTTATACTTGTGTTCAGAATGCTAGGGATTTTCTAGTATTCCATACAGATGATCTTCCTAACAATCTCTTCTGCAGGATGAAGCATTTCAGTAAGTGCTATATAAGAATTACCATTAGCTTGTTACTTTCCTGTTTTCTCCTCTCTCCTTTTCATTTCCTTTGTAAGGATATCAATTTCCTTAGCACAAGATGCTATAAAAGACTAACATTTTTTCAAATTTTGGGTAAGGCAGCAATATTTTCTTCCCACACAGCACAAAACACTGCATCAATATCCAATCTCAGAAAGATATTGCTGGTGGCATTAAAATTGGTACAACGCTTTTGGGAATACATTTGCCAATATGCAAAGGAACTAAAGAAATCATCATTCCTCTGCCTTTGCGATTTCAGTGTAGGAAAACATGGTAAGGAAATAATCCAAAACATGGAAAAAGCTGTATGCAAGAGTAGTCATATGGTGTTATTTGTAGGAGCAACAGGTTGGAAACAATAGCATGTCAATTAACAGAAGGGCTAAATTATGGAATATATATTTTGCTTTTACATGCATGTAGTATTTATGCAAATAAATACTACAAATAAAGATAATTTATCCAGGTATATTGTGATTATAACGGTGTGAAACACTGATGTTGAGAAGTGAAACTATCTACCTCATACAGCTTTTGTCTACATGAATATGACTCCGTATTCCAATGTTCATTAGCATAAGTTTACCAAGAACCTCTTGTTGAGGTACATAAATTTATTGTTCAAAACAGGAACTTTTCAACAGAGCCTATCAATTCATCAATAGAAATCATCAACTGATAGTTCATATCCTAAGACTTTTTGAACCCCTCAACCCCACATTCTTGCCTTGTTATATTCTTCAAACCTGAACACGGGGGCCTGGGTGGATCAGTTGGTTAAGCATCTGACGCTTGACTTCAGCCCAGGTCATGATCTCATAGTTCGTGGGATTAAGCCCCAAGTCTGGCTCTGTGCTGACAGCGTAGAGACTGCTTGGGATTCTTTCTCTCCCTCCCTCTCTCTCTAATATTAAAAAACAAAACAAAAACAAAAACAATCACCCTGAGCAATTATATCATCATATTTACCCAATCTTAAACAATGCCTACTCATTCAAAGTCCCATCTTAACCAAACTCCAAAATTTTAGTAAAACCCGATCCTGCCCTTCCCTCCCTGAGACAGAACTAAAACTCTAATGAGGCGGTGCTCTTCCTAGCAACATTGAGTCCGTCCTGTATTAGCAACATATTATGTTGATGATACTTGGGAAACTACATTCAACAGTGTAGAAAAACTATGCAATTAACACATGTAGAAAAAAAATGAAAGGAAGGTGTAAAAATAACAATAGTTATGTTAGGGATTGGAATTTAGCCGAGTTTCAAGGCTTTTTGATGTTATTCTTATGTAATGAGGGCAAAGCTTAGTTCAATCAATAACTAGGAATTCATTTTGGTGCAGCCACATTTTAATATGTAAAGATCAAATAAAGGCAAAGCTGTGCAACTTGTTATTCTCCTCCTTGTGTTTTGCAGAACAATCAATAACAATCCAGAGAGAAGACTACTTAGGTAGGAAGCAGAGCTATTCATATTGTAATTATGCTTGTAGAATCGAAATACTTATGGGGTCTGTTGTAATGAAAATGATCCAAAATGCTCTAAAATCACTTAGTTAATGTTGAGAAACAATCAGGAGGACATTGACTATGGCCTTTAAATGGGCTTTGGTATTTAATGGGAAAAGGCTTTAGACAACAGCTTGCTTAGCACTGAGCTACAGAAATGTAACCCTAACACAGCATAGACAGATTTCACAAAATTAAGGATGGCTTTTATTAACAGAAATCTTGTAGCTGATGGTTTTTGTGGTGTTTGTTAAATGTTTCCCATCTTTTTATGAAAATCAGGGAGAAAAGCTGTGGCCTGTGGATGGAGTTTGTCACAGCTGGCAAGGCTCTACCTTGCAGTTACCTGTCTTGTGTCAAGTTTTCCCATGCAGACAAACTTGGACTTTTTTTTTTTAGCGACAAAGTAAGGGTGCAAGCATGCACAGGTTGGGGTGGGGGAAGAGAGAGAGAGAGAGAGAGAGAGAGAGAATCTTAAGCAGGCTCCACACTCAGTGCAAAGCCTGATGTGGGGCTCGATCCCATGACCCTGGGATCATGACCTGATTCGAAATCCAGGAGTCGGGCAGTCATTCAACCAACTGAGCCACCAAGGCACCCCTGGTTTGACTTTTAAAAATGGCTCTGGTTAAGTCAATTAACAGCCTATCACCCAAGTAAATCTTAATTCTTTACTGGTAGTAATCAATACCATTACCTTTTCAACTTGTTTTCTCTAATGCATAAATATGCTTTGTAAGGAGAAGAAGTTCATCAACCAAGGCACAACAAAATACAATCTATCCACAAAGTCCAAAAATTTCACTGTGATGGGACCAAGAAATTTACAAAGCTTCTGTTTCAGGTAGATACACTGATCACAGTAATAAAGACAGTTCTATTAAGATTAATCAGGTAATTTTATTAAATATTTACCATTCAGCAGCAACCAACATGAACATCTGAGCTAACAGAATCTTTTGACATGTTCTGCTATATAGCTGCTTCAGAAATACACGCACATGATAAATTGAACTGTTCATTGCCAAAAAAAACTTTTTAAAAAAGGCTTCAAGAGCAAATAACACTGATTTATACTGTGCCCAAGCACGAGTCAACAATCTATTAAATTACAAAGGAAAAGGAAATCAAAGAAGCTTTGTTATCTTATATGCATGTCAACTTATTTAAATGGAAGGCGTTACTTCTTTTAAAGCAACAGGAATATGAAGCTTCCTATGTGTGTTTGTGTGTGTGTGTGTGTGTGTGTGATTACAAAGTGTTATCATCAAAGCAAAAGCTAGTTCCAGAAATTTCCAACTGCAAAACTTGCAAGATACAAAGCTAAAATTCATATGTTCCTTTTCTCAATTATGAATACTTTCACTAAACATAAATATTTTAACATATATTAATTTTTCTGACATTCAAAATTGTAAAGTCAATATGGCAGAATTATTGTTAAAAGCACATATGTACAAATATTCTTTTTCCATACATAAAGTATTTGGCATAATTATAACAATCATACTGCATCCACAACTGTTTGCTTTTATTTTTACTTTTTTTTTTTTACACATAATGGTATCTCTTATTAAAATTAACCAGTTATGTACAAAAATACTTGAACATTTATTATAGAAAACCTCTATAACCAGCCTCAACAGCGTATACCTGCTGAATGGTTTCATTAAGAGAATATAAAAAAGTGGTCACTGTCTTCCAGGTAAGCTATCAACAAAAACAAGGGTTAAATTAAAATGAGCTTCCCAACAAAAGAGGGAAAATATTTAACAGTGTGATTTAAAATACAGTTCATATTTATTGTCAGTTGAGTGTTATAAACAGTCAGTAAAAGAAAAAAAAACAAAGATACAAAATACATTACTAAATACAAGGTGCTTTTTCCACACGCCTGCAACCGGGCATCAGCATCACCGTCTAGATCTGAGACGCTGTGTGTCCATCCTTAAGCCTGCAGAGCCTACAGCCATCTCACCCTTCAACGAAAACAGGATCAAGCTAAGAAGACAAGCTCCGGCAGGAGCCTGGAGAGTTGTGAAGAATTTTCTATTTGGTGCAGGATTAAAAGTTAATGCCCTTGCCTTTTGAAAGTCCTTTTGCCATTTAATCATGCTAATATATTTTCTCTAAGGTTTTTTTCATTTACACTATTGATTTAATACTGTCCTGTATTGATTCCTGAATTCTTGTTAATGGGACACATTAATTTGTGCCTATTTAACACGTGAACATCTACTCTTCTTCAGTGACAAATGCACTGCAGAGGAAACGATCAAGTAAGGAAGCTTGTACAAGATTCAAGTAAACATTTCTCCTCGGGTCTTTTGCTTAATCTAGCCGATTGGAACTCTCAAAGTAAACTGCACCTTGGAAAGAAACACAGTAGATATCATGATGTCAGGGTACGAAAGGATTTACCAACCAATTCACAAAGTAGAGTTTTAAGAAAGTAGACAGTGGTCAATGTCAAAAGCAACCTTAAAGAATTATTTCAAGAACAGAACAACCTGCAGCCCTATTCCTTGCAACTCCATAAATGTACTAACGAGCCTGCTTTAACTTGTAATTCTGTTGATGTGCATGGATCACTCTTCTCATGGAAAGAGCGAGAAACCTCCCCTTATTTACAGAAGCCTTCTAAAGTAAGGACCGTTGTTAGGATGTGCATGGACTTAATAAGCTTTCTCGGAGTATCAAGTATTCAGTAAAAAGGATACAACAACATCACGCGCCGTATCGTTGGACAGTCTCATCTTGGTTTTAGGATTAAACTAGATTTTAAAAAAAAGCGAACATAAAAAGGTACAAAGGAAGTCTTTAACACTACCACTTCCGAACGTGAAACGTTTTAAGGAAAGTCAGCCACACGTCATGTAACATCTGGCGTTTTAGATCAGTAACTTGTAATATTGTGCAACATATTAATAAGCAAGTTTTAATTCCATTCACTGAAAGACGGATCTGGGTAAGTTATTAAAGTGCCTACACTAAATGTCTCCTGGTCCTACTATTCTCTTGTAAACGGCCGGGCCTCGGGGCAGAGGACTGGGAACCTTCATAACTGCGAGACCTTGCGAGGCAGGGGCCGGGGCCGAGGGCCGGGCTCAGTCCTCCGGGGGCCGTTCTCCAGGGGGCCGGGCCGCGCGGCCAGGGGCTTGGGGGGCAGCGCAGGCGGCTCGGCCGTGACCGGGATGGAGAGGCTGTGAGGTAGCGGGACGGGCCGCCGCAGAGTCCGCTCGTACACGCTGTAGGGCGGCGGCGTTTTGCTCTCCTTGCGCACCGGCTCCTCGGGCCCGCTGTAGCCCGGCCCCGGCCCGGCCGCCGGGGCCGACTGTTCGTTCACCTGATTTTCGAAGCCTGAGGTTTCCGAGGTGCTACACCGGCTGAGAGAAGAGATCCCACTGCTGTAGCTGCCCGACAGGACCGGGGAGTTGGAGATCAGTCCTGGGGAGTGGTACTCCACCGGAGAGGGGGTGAAGGACTGCACCGAGCCCTGCCCAAATGCAAGGGGAAAGGCAGAGGAGAGAAGGGTCACCGGGCAGTCACACACCCTGTGCTGGGGTGCACTTTGAACCCCCACACCCATCACATCTGGCGTTTCAGATCAGTAGCGTGTGATACTGTGCAGCATATTAATATTCAAGCCCTAATTCCCATTTGAACCCCCACACCCAACACATCTAGCGTTTCAGATCAGTAGCTTGTGATACTGTGCAACATATTAATATTCAAGCCCTAATTCCCAGTACTCAGAATGTCACCGCATCTGGGGTCAGGGTCTTTAAAGAGGTGGTACCTTAAAACGAGGGCTTCGGGGTAGGCCGGACTGGTGTCCGTATAAGAAGGGGACATTTGGACACACAGGGAAAAGATCACGTTAAGGTAAGGGGAGAAGGGAGCCATGTGCCAGCCAAGGACAGAGGCCTCAGGAGGAACCAAGCCTGGTGACACCTGTTTGGGGATCCTGTGGCCTCCAGAAACCGTGAGTAAATAAATTTCTCTTGTTTAAGCCTCTCAACCTGTGGTGGCTGGTGGTGGCAGCCCTTCTGGGCTACGGCACACCCCTGACTCAGATTTGAGGTGGTGGTGTTCTCAGCACCAAACACCTTCATTCAAGCTTAGCTCACTGCCCAGTTTACTTATTTTCAGGATAGAAAGAGGATAAATGTAACCAGGAAGAAAACGCAGAGGCACATAGTTAGTCCCATGATTTGGAAGACAGGGAACCAGCAACACCAGCAGCCGAAGGCTGTGGCAGTGCTGGCTTCCCTCTCCCTGCAGGGACGGGCTCAGACCTGGAAGACAGCAGCCCCGGCAGTGTGAGTGGGGACGGGCCGTCCAGCACCGGCCTCCAGAGGAGGAGTGAGGTGCCGTGGGCTCACGTTTGAGTTTTTGCTCCCATCCCAGACCCCTGAACCGAAGCTGCACGTGCGTAGCTCTCAGGGTCCAGAGCCGGAAACAGGACTTGTTTCATCCCGAGTGTTTTCTTTTTTTTTTTTTTTTTTTAACATTTTTTAAAAATATTTTTATTTATTTATTTCTAGGAGAGAGAGCGTGAGCAGGGGAGGGTCAGAGAGAGAGGGAGACACAGACTCGGAAACAGGCTCCAGGCTCCGAGCTGGCAGTCAGCACAGAGCCTGACGCGGGGCTCGAACCCACGAACCGCGAGATCATGACCTAAGTGAAAGTCGGACGCTCAACCGACTAAGCCACCCAAGCGCCCCTCATCCCAAGTGTTTTCTAAAAACCTGACTTGGTTGCTAATTTTTTTTAAATAGTAAGATTTCTCATAGTCCTTCCCCCTCCACCTTTTTGGCATTTGATTTTAAAAAAAACCTTGGAAGTTCTAGCAACAATGGCCTGCTTTCTCTTAATGGAGATCATTGGAGCAGGGGCTTTCCCCTTGAGATGAGGCGTGAACTCTTCAATTTACCGTAGTCTT